TGCTTCAAATGCCAGAGTTTCTGAGCCAACATTTTGGTTGCTAAGCAAGAGCATTGTTAAGTGAGTTTCACCACATTTTACAAGTTGGCCGCGCCCGCCCAGTGACATGGCTGGCAAGCCACTCCCATTGGTCACATGGCTGGCAAGCCACTCCCACAAAGCAGGGCACACCTACGGGAGAGGTTCTAAAAAATTTGAAACCCACCACTGATACATACAGTCTAATTCCTTAAGTTATCATTAATATCTATCTATTACTTTTGTACTTTTGACGGACTTTTCATTACAGGGAGCAAATATTAATACTGTTGACGTTGAGGGTCGAACACCATTACTACTGGCCACTTCTTGTGCATCATGGAAAACTGTAAATCTTTTACTTTCAAAAGGTACAAAAATGAACAAAACACACTTTATGAGCAAGATCAATGTTCATTATAATTGTTGGTCAATAGTTTTGAAATCAAAATCTGTTTTTCAAATTAGGAGCAAATGTAGAATTAAAAGATCTCCTTGGTCGTAATTTTTTACATTTAACTGTCCTACAACCTGGTGGGTTACAGCACCTGAATGAACACTATTTGAAGGTAAATAAAATCTGTGGAACTATTAATAATCAATTGTCTAATAATATTTTAAGAACTAATACAGATAGTCCTCGATTTACAGCAGTTCATTTAGTGACTGAAGTTACAACAGCCCTGAAAAAAGTGACTTATGACTATTTTCACACTTATGACGCTTGTAGCATTCCCATGATCGCATGATTTACATTTGGATGCTTGACAATAGGTTATGACTGTTGCAGCGTCTTGGGGTCCTGTAATCATCTTTTTCAGCTCTCTGACAAGCACAGTCAATGGGGAATCCAGATTGATTTAATAACCATGTTACTAATTTAACAATTGCAGTGATTCACTTCACAAATGTGGCAAGAAAAGTCGCAAAAAGGGGGAAAAGCTCACTTAACAAATTTCTCACTCAGCAACATAAATTCTGGGCTCAATTGTGGTCATTAATCGAGGACTATCAGTATTTTTATTTTCTTCATGGCATTTAACATATCTATTTAAACTCAGTCTGGTCTAATGATTAAGACACCAGGATAGAATTATAATCTGACAATGGCATATAAAGAGAATTTATATAAAATATTTTATAGATGGCACATGACACCTGAAAGATTAGGGAAAATGTTTAAGGATAAATCAGCTAAATGTTGGAAATGTCACCAATTGCCAGGAATGTATTATCACATGTGGTGGATGTGTAGAGATGCAAAAAGCTATTGGGTTAAAATACAAACATAGTTAGAGAAAATGATACATAAACTCGTGGAGTTTAAGCCACAGATATTTCTATTGGATAATCTACCAGAGAAATACAGTAAAGAAGATTCATATTTGATTGTACAAATAATAACAGCAGCTAGAATTGTATTTGAACAAAACTGGAAAGCAGACAAAAACCCATCGGAAGGGGAGTAATAAAGAAGATATTAAACTGTGCAGAAATGAATAGGTGACATTGAGAATAAAGGGCAATGAAGAATCAGTGTACTACGGGACATGGGGGCGATTTTATGAGTGGCTTGAAAAAGCAAATAGAAATAAAAAGGGAACAAAACATGAAATAAGTATCTCAGATGACACATGATTAATATAGGGGGAGGGGAAATAAGAAAATATCAAAATACAGGCGGAAAAATGATATGAATTGACATATGTTAAATAACAATTGTAAGAATGTATATCAAAGAATGAATTTGAAAGGAAGAATAAAAAACTTTTTACATAGAAGGCACCAGGATAGAAAGCAGGAGATTGTGAGTTCAAATTCTGCCTTAACTATGAAAGCCAATTGGTGACTTTGGACCACAGGGTTGTTGTGTAGGAAAAATAGGGGAGGAAAGTGTGTTTTATATGTCTGCAGCCCTGAGTTATTTGTAAAAATAATATGCGGGATACAAATAAATAAATAATACATAGGATGAAACTTTACTGCTGGTATTGCAGATTATATAAAAAACTATAGTTCAATTGCAAATATTTTTGTGGTTTTTAGCTGATCTATTTTTTTCAACTGAATATCACTTTTCAACACCTCTCAGTGGAGAAATCAAAGTGTTCCCTTGAGCTATAACATGAAAGTTTCAAAGTTCACAAGGAAGATATATTCCAAATTCAAGGCAGCAAACAATATCAAAATTCCTTATGGCAAATCATTATGTTGGAATATTAAAGCATTAATACTCATTCATTCCAAAAGTGGGCTTGGAGTTATAACAGACAAAAGAATTGAAAACTTGTTTTAAAGACAACATCAGCCCATTGTACTCTGGAACATTATTTTGTGATCTTTAGTAACATATCAGTTAGGATGTAAGTTCAAAATAACTTTCCCTCTAGAATTCTATTAAAAGGTACCACTTTTATATCTGACAGATGAAACATATTAAAGATCTTATAACTGAGGAGGATCAGGAAGGATGCACTCCTTTACATTATGCATGCAAGCAAGGTGTACCCCTTTCTGTGAATATCCTTCTTGAAATGAATGTTTCTATATACTCTAAAAGCAGAGACAAGAAATCTCCCTTACATTTTGCAGCTAGGTAAGACTGAAAATCTTTCCTCATTGACCATTTTCTATTCCAGACTTTATCCTTATTAATGGGGCTTATATCTTTCATACAGCTATGGACGAATCAACACCTGTTTTAGACTTCTGGAGGCTATGCAAGATACCAGGCTCTTGAATGAAGGAGACAAAAAAGGCATGACACCTTTACATCTGGCTTCTCAAAATGGACATGAAAAGGTAGTCCAGTTTCTCCTAAAGAAAGGCGCCCTCTTTCTTTGGTAGGTAAATTGCAAGATTCTGTTATTATAACTTATCTCGATAAACTATAGGTCTGGTCTTTCTGTGGGCTTGACTTCCTGACCTTCACACTTAAGTAAGGCTGACATCCGTACATTCTGGTTCCCAACTACATATATTTTATATACATATGTTTATAACAATCTGAATTATTGAGGAACAAATCATTTGAGAAATACAGTCATTTGAAACAGAAAGTACTTCCTCTTTTGATGTGGTTTTTTGTATCACAACACAGTTTAAAAAGCTAGAATAAATGATAGAAATAAGAGATGGGGAATATTAGTGTATACATTTTTATATAATAAAATGCAAGTAATAATAAGAGAAATGTGGAACAACTGAACAATGATAAATTGTGTATTATTATTAGAAATACATACATTGATTGAATGTAATAATTATGATTAACTTATTGGTTTTATTTGTATTAGAATGTATGACATTCAGGTGCCACACTGTTCACTCATTGATTTGATAAATTTATAAAAAATAAAAAATAAAAACTTGGGGAAAAATGGTTAAAAATCATCTGTCCCTTAGCAGTTCTTAAAAGTAGGATGCTGTTGGCATTGAGAGTCAAACACCATTATTACTTGCCACTTCTTATATATAATATAGATCTACACACACACGCACATGCGTGTGTGTGTAGATATAGACTTACATTCAATTGTTATAACAAAATGAGAATATTTTATTCTGTTTCTTTCATAAGTGATTATAAAGGCTGGACAGCTTTGCATCATGCCGCTTTTGGTGGATATACTCGCACAATGCAGATTATTTTGAATACCAATATGAAAGTCACCGATAAAGTAAATGACGAAGGGGTAGGTCTCTCTGTAAGTTTTAGTTATAATGGTAACATACTTTAGTTTTATGGTACATTATTTGAGGCATCTGATCCAAAGTATTGTAGGCTTACTATGCCATTGCTGTATATCAGCCAAATAAAATACTACATCTGGTTGCTGTTGAAAGTCCTTAAAATAATACTTTATAAACCACTGTAATTCTGGAATGTCTTAACAAACATTTTTAAAATGGAGTTTTTCATAAAGTTAAACAAAATTAAATATTTAGAAGACTCAGGGTCAAAATGTAATCTCGGTCTCAATATGCCCCAAATATATCTAGCAAATATTTTAATAAAGATACATGATAACTTTCAAGTGAAAAGTGCAGAGTTTGGTATTCAGTTAAATTGTAATTCCTCATAAGTTTCGTCATTTTACTAATTTTGGAAAGATAGAGTCAATCTTGAGCTGAATAGGATCGAACTGGTGGCAGTGGGCAGAGTTAGCCTGAAATACTGCATTTTAACCACTGCACCGTCATGGATTGATAAATATTCAGTTACATTTTTGAAAATATGGTAAGATAAAACCTTCATCAATTTAACCAGTGAGATTCTTGGTGCCTGTTTTTCCATTTATATTTCCAACAAATATAAATATGCATGAAATATCTATTGAGAATGAATATTGGATTACCCTTCAAATATATCTCAACCAAATGTTATTAATTATGATAACATTTGTCAACACCCTATCAATGTAATTGGATTTTTGTCCATCTATTAATATCCATAAGAATAAGAGTTCACATCAGTTTCAACTGTTAGTAATATTTTTGGTATATAGTTAATTTTTTATAAAATACAACAGTGAATTTTCTGTTTATCATACATCAAATGTTTGAATGATTGTTCATTTCTTAGAAGTAAATGCTCTTTAGTATGCACAGAAATGAAGCTACAGATCATATCAATAATTCTGAGTTTCATTTTTTAAAAATGGGTTTCAAAATGAATCTCTGACCGATGTTCCTGCATCGTGGAAGGAGGGATTATTGCACAACCAAGTAGTAGAAAGAATGAATATTTTTGACTCTTGATATTTACATATTGAAATTTGTCAGAGGAAAAGATAGAAGCAGAGACAGTGATGTACCAGAGAAAAATGTTACAGCTCCATGTGCTGTTTTGTTTCATAGAGTAATGACATTATTTTAATTAATTGTTCTTGGGGTGGATGTGGGGAAAGAATACAGCTCTTCACCTTGCTGCCAGAGAAGGCCACGCAAAAGCAGTGAAATTACTTCTTGATGACAATGCCAAAATTCTCCTGAACAGAGCTGAAGCTTCTTTCCTTCATGAAGCCATACACAATGGCCGAAAAGATGTTGTAAATGCTGTCATTTTACATAAAAGGTAAGCTTTCCTAAATTTGGTTTAACAATAGCAATAGCACTTAGACTTATATACCGCTTCATAGTGCTTTTATAGCTCTATCTAAGCAGTTTACAGAATCAGCATATTGCCCCCATTTTACCCACTTTGGAAGGATGGAAGGCTGAGTCAACCTTCAGCCAGTGAGATTTGAACTGCTGAACTGCAGCTAGCAGTCAGCTGAAGTAGCCTGCAGTACTGCACTCTAACCACTGTGCCATCTGGGCTCAAGTTTAGGAGTTTTCTCTCTCTCCTAAAGTACTCTTCTCAGTCCTGTGTTATTGGTTTATTTGCCTAACAAATTATTAGCCACTCTCTGAAATCCAGTCCTACCTAATTCCCATTATTAAATGAGAAGGTGGTTAAGAAAGCCAACCACAACTTTTATTTACTACTGAACATCTACTATTGAAAGTCAGAGGTCCTAATATTATATTTCTTTTTTAAAATGTTTTTTCTGACTCAGTGCAGAACCTTATATTTATCTCTTCTAAATTCTATTCATTGCAGTGAAAGTTAAGTTAAACATAAGCCAGCAGTTTAATGCAGCTACTAAAAAGACAAATGTTACCTTCTGTGCATTAATCAAATCATCTGAAACATTGAGTCCAGATCATGGACAGTCATTTTCCATTCCACTCTGCTCTGGTTGAATATCACTTGTGGTATTTAGTCTCATTCTGGGCACCATAGTTGAAAAAGATATTAAAGAAGTTCAGATGAGAACTACTAAAATGGTAGTGGACTTGGAAACCATGAAAAATGATTGAAAAATATTTAGTCTTCAAAAGAGATAATTGAAAGGAATTATTTGTTTATAAAATTTAACCCCACTTCAGTTTTTAACACATTCTTGATGTGATTATAAGTAATCAAACTAATAAAACCATAATTACAAAAATTATATTAACATCAGAAATTATAATAAAAATTAAACTGTATTAGTGCTGCTGATGCAAGTCAATTTGGGATGGTCACCTAGAAAAGCAACTTTTCCAGTTGTAGAAGGCCACACAACGGAACAAGCTCTTTCACAGAATGCATGTCCCTACTGAAAAGTTCTATCATATGCCCCTTCCTACCACATTCACTTCTCTCCCCCTAAGATAAGAGAGGAATCTTAGAAGGCACTATTATCATCTTAATGGAAATGTTTGTAGAATTCAAAATCCTACATTGTGTGTTATGGTTTAATGTTAGTCTAGTATAGCATAAATTTAATAAGCATTTCTCATTTTATAAGAAAATGTGTTTTGTGCTATATTTCAGTATAGTCCCATTGGTATACAAATCAATTTAAATAATGCACATCACCTCTGGTTCAGACAAGCAACTCAGAGTATTAACTTCCCTTTTTAAGCCAGCTTAATATACCTGAAGAAGGTTTTTTTTAACCCTTCCTGTTATATTTATAATATAGAGTAGTGATGGTGAACCTTTTTTGGCCAAAAGCAGGGGGAACACAGGGGGGTCGTGCGCCGGTGTTCCACACCTATAATGCTATGCGCTTTTGCTATGATTTCTTCGCCCTCGCCAGGCTCCAGAGGCTTTCTAGGAGCCTGGGGAAAGCAAAAACAGCCTCCTCCTCCCCCTGGACACCTCGGAGGGCTCAGGAGCTTCCCTGAAGCCTCAGAAAGCCTCCAGAAGGCGAAAAACGGATCTTTTGACAAACCGGAAGTCACTTCCAGTTTGCTCGTAGGGCCGGTTTTTGCCCTCTGGAGCCTTCAGGGAAGCCTCCTGAAGGCCCCTGAAGGCCCTGGAAGTCAAAAATTGACCCTGCGGACAAATCGGAAATCACCATTTGCAAACTTCCGGTTTCCCCATAGGTCCATTTTTCACCCTCCAGAGCCTTCAGAAGGCTTCCCTGAAGGCTCCTGAGATCAAAAAACTGCCCTATGAGCAAACCGGAAGTGACTTCCAATTTGTCCATAGGGCCAATTTTCGACCTCCGGAGGCTTCAGGAGGCTCTGGAGGGCAAAAAACAGTCCTATGAGCACACCAGAAGTCTGTTTCTGAACTTCCAGTTTGCCCATAGGGCCGGTTTTTCGCGCTCTTGAAGCTTCAGGGAAGCATCCAGAGGGCGAAAAACAGCCTAAAAAGAAGGCCAAAGTCAGCTGGCCAGCACACACATGCACGCTGACCAGCTGACAGGGCAACATGTCATGTGCCCTGACAAATGGCTGTGAGTACCACCTGTGGCACGTGTGCCATAGGTTTGCCATCATGAATATAGAGTATACTCAGAAAGTGCTAGATATAGGAGTGGGAATCCAATGTTAAGACATTTTTGCCACATAACATATAATAGCAATAGTATGTGATGTTTCCATAACTATATAAAGCTGTGACATACCACTTGACTTCAAGAATTGGTAAGAACTTGATATTAAACAATATACTAAATATTGCCTAGCCTATTCATTTTTACTTTATTATGACGGTGTCTGTAATTGAGCTGCATGTCAACATTTTTGTGGCAATCCTTTTAAAAACATGGATGTTCTAATTAGGTAGTGGCATGTGGCTGGTCTTGTCTGCTTTGGAAGGTATCGGATGGGAGAGATTGGCAAACCACTTCTATACTATTGCTAAGAAAACTGCATGGAATCACCTAAAATGGAGCTAACTTGCCTCAAAGGATATTTTATCCTTATCAAAGATACAGCAATGTATTTTTTCTCTAATCAATACAAATACCCATTCTGAACTTTTTCAACTTCTTTTTCAGATGGGAAGAATCTATAACAACATTTTCTCACCATTCTATAAACAAATGTGCAATACTAGAGATGGTTGAATATCTTCCCGAATGTTTAAAAGTAAGCTTATGTTTAGCAAGTAACGTAATTTAAGAAGGCCAGAACTGGGAGGTTACCCCACTACCACAAAAATTAAGGCAGTGTCAAGCTACTTCCATATTGTTATGACAAAAACAACATGGAATTCTGGTGATGAAATCCTAGGTGTTTTTCTTTAAAAATATTGAGTTGTATACAACCTTTGAATTTACAAAAAAAGATCTTTTTAATTTTTCCAATTTGTGACCCCCTCCCCCATTATACACCATTATACATCCAGGTTGGGGAAATCTGGAGCTACAATCCAGTTTGGGGAGCCTGGAACTACAATCCCAAAGAGGCATAAAGATTGAGAGGATTGTGTGAAATTAGCGTATATTTGAGTATACCTCTCTTCATGTTTATTTTGATCCAACCTGTAGATATTCCATATGCCATGTTTTCTTGCTTTAATATGGCCTGTTTTCTTCTTATGTTATTATTTCTATCAGTGACTATGTTTGGTAGTATGTTTTTAACATCACTACAAAAAGAACTAATTTTACATGTACAAGTCTAAATCTTCTGATAGTAAAATATAGAAGAAAGATTCCAAAACACCAGATAATTCTCTTGGCAGAGAAGAATGAATGCCCATTTTTAACAATCCATTTGTCAGGCTATTTTATGTTCATCATTCTAGGATACAATAACTGAATTCATACTGTTAGGTAGATTGACATGAATAAGAAATTTCAAAATCACCATTTTCTGGAACTAGGATCAAACTAAATTTGAAACATTGATGAGTGTGTGTATTAAGACTTGTCTCCATCATTGTGCTATTGGCCATGGAAAAGCTATCCTAAGTGTTAATGGAAGTTTAAATTCTGGAGGCAATAGGAACAGTAGGAAAAGATTAAGGCTGCCCTTAATGTCATGATTAAACTTGTGAAATCCTAAATGTGTCTTTGCCACATGTCTTTGAACCTAAAACAAATCCTAATGTGCTTTTGAATACAAAAAATTCAAAACGGCTTCAGTTTAGATCATTTTCATTATTCAGAATGAATGTTTTACACTGTATAATATGATGGAATAACTTTAGTAATTTTTTTAAAAAATATAGAAATGTTTCTCTATTTTTGCTTAGTTGGTTTTAGACAATTGCATTATTGAATCACCTGAAGAAAAAGGATCCAAAGACTTCAATGTAAGTAAAATCCAAAGCAGTTTTATCTGTTAAGAAGTTTTAGAATTAATAAAGCATTTTGATGTACTAATGGCCCTATGATTCTTATGCAAGAAACATATGGTCGGCTGTTATATATTAAGTTAGGTTGAAGTAGGCTTCAACTACTATGCAATCAGAATTCACTGGGGAAAAAACCCCAGTTGAATTTGCATATTACATTAAACTATAGCTTATTATAAATTAAATCCACAAAAACAAGCATACTTCCATGCTCCTTTTGTATTGAATACAAAGAAGCAGAGAGATAAATTATCATATTATGTATGTGTATATGTGTATGTATATATGCATATGTGTGTGTATACTGTATAAAAATAAGTTTAAGAAGCAATTATATTTAATTAACTAATGTTGATTTAATTAAAATTCATTGTTTAATTTTCAAGAATAACTTACAGAATTATTATATGATCATGATTTAAAATGACATATAATTGTCACCAAACTGTAACTTTAGCACTAAAATCCAAAATGGAATAAATATTGTCAATAGCAAATATCACATCCAAATTTTATAAAAACAGCCAAGTAATTTAAATTCCTTAATTTCCCCGAATTGAAATTATAATATCAAAGTTTTCGGGTGCAGGTGTGCCTATCTGTGTATATGCCTGAACCCTGAATATATTTATTGACGTTATCAGGGCATAGTAAGTAAGTAAGCTTGCAAACCATAATAATTGGCAATCATGATTATCACTATTTTTTCTGAGGTTTTAGAAGACATTTAAGCTAAATCTTTTAAAAGTATGATATATTACAGATTTGTTCCAAAATTAAGCTGTGTTGGTTCATATTTGCATAGATTGAATATAACTTCAGATATCTTCAGTGTCCGCTGAAACTTAAGAAGAAATTTAAAGAGAGTGGAGGAATAATTTATGAGCCACTTCTTGCTTTAAATGTAAGTTATGCTTATGTGAAATCATATCTAATACTGTAGAGCAGAGTCAACCGATCTGGCAGGAAGGAAGGTGATAGTTCCATGCGAGTGGAGGGGTAGGGGAACCTCATGTGTAAACATAAGATGGCCACTGCTCACATGATGGGAGCTTCACCCAAGCTCATGTGCTCATCTGCTGCTTGTGTGGCCCAATTCCAAACAGGTTGCGGCTTGGTAGTGGTTCAGGGGTTGGGGGACTCCTGCTGTAGAGACTGAAACTGTAATCTAGGATAAGGTGACCAGACGTCCCGCATCTGGCGGGACAGGCACGCCTTTCCAATTTTTTCCGCGTCCCAGGCCGTTCTCAAAAAACCCGCTTTATTTTGGCGCTCGCAACTCGCTCCTTCCCCCGCCCATCAGGTGCTAGCTCACTCGTTCCATTCTACACTAAAAATCTAAGCCAGCCCAGCCTGCCGCTCACTGATTGGACTGGATTCCAGCCAATCAGTGAGCTGGCTGGGATGGAAAACTTTAAGCATGCACTGATTGGCTGGAGTCCGCTTAGCTTACCATGCCGCATGAGTCTCCATTTCATTTCGTCTTTTGCTTGCTGCTTAACTGGTGAGTAATGGTACTGGTGGGAATCAGGAGGCGCTGGGGGGAAGAGACAGCCTTCCTCTCCTCCCCCTTTGCGGAGTTTCCCTGTGTCTCCCAGGTCGCGCCCGTCCCCTCTCAAAAGGATTCGGCTCGGCCACCACTTCCTCCTCTTCTTCTTCCTCCACCTCCTCCTCCTCCCCGTCCATGGTGGCAGTCACAGGATGGATGGGGCGGCAGCAAGAGCGAGCGAGAGAGAGACGGTTCCGTCCCGCGAGGAAACGCCCACCGAGCTGCGGGTCCCGCCGCCGCCGCCTTCTTTCCCTCTCCCTCTTCCAGAGCTTGAGACCGTCTTTGCGAGTCCGCGAGGTGTGGCCGCTTCCCACCGCAGCACAGGCACCGCCACCAGCGGCAGAAGCTCCAGGCTGTTGCTCCGAGTGGAAGTTGTCTGCACGAGGTGAAACAGCTGCTGCC